TAGCGTTAAGCAGATTTAGATATATTTCCCTTATATATTTTTAAGGAGTTGTTTGTTTGCGCGCTGTGCTGCAGGGTGTGCCAGGTTTTCTTCGAATTAGTTTACTTTTAAATATAATTTATATGAAATCGCCCAAAATTATGGTACGTCAACGTCCCTAAGCATGCCATGAAATACTATATAATCTGATTTCTTCATACCGTTTGCACCAACTCAGGCTAAATCGTTATATACCGATATTAGCGGGATTGGTACATTTTGACATTTTTGGAATCATAGCTCAATGACAAAGGTGTAAACAAGGCTTTCGACCACCTTTATTACCACGAATTTATTATATTCCGGCCTCCGACTCAGTAAGGTGTTCACTTTTCAAATTTTAATATTTCAATAAAATATTCTTGGAATTAAGAAAAAACTGTTTTTGGAAAAAAATACAAATAAATTACAAAAAAAATATATTGGCCATTTCCTGATCTTAATCATAAAACAAACACAACTAGAAATTGTCTTGAATTTGTAATTACCATTAGCTATTTATGGATTTTTTGTTATTATTGTAATTATTATTATATTTTTTTCTGAACCCAGTTATGATTTATTATTGTAAAGAGATTTGTTTGTGGTTCGAACACACATGAATTCGTGTTTAATTATTTATTAGAATATTTTTATTGGAAATTGATTTCTGTATTGATTTTCAATGTTGCGCAGTTGTTGTTGTTTTTTTATATATATCTTATTTAATAATTCTCAACTTGTTTTCAACAAGAAAAAAGTGGCAGCAGAACAACAACAACAACTTTAGCGTTTAAAATGCATGTGGCACGTACCATCCATCCAGCCATCCATCGTGTATTCCTCCGTTCGATGGTTCTTCAATTTCATTCATTTTTGGTTTGTTTGAATGCACCACCACTACACCACCATCACCTTCTTGCAGAGTTACTTCATGTCTGTATTTCCTGTATGACACACAGCTGCAGGTAAAAGAAAATATAAAACAGACACCAAAAATTCCCCCAGTTAAGTGTTGGTGGTATGGTTGTTGTAGTCGTTGTTGTTGTTGTTGCTATATTAAAACGTCTGTCTCTGCCGTTTGTTTTCAGTCATAAACTGGAAAAAAGTCATAACATTGTTGAGGCTCACACACCCGACACAACACCGACCAAGTTAGCAATAAAATTTTATGTAAAATGTTTTTGTTGTTGTTGCTGCTGCTGTTGGGCATACATGTTTCAGGCACTCCATGGCTGTGTTTTATCGTTTTTGTGTGCAACACACCCAACCAAATTCCGCTTCCGTTTTGATTCCCCCAAAAGCAGGAAAGGTTGTATGAAAATAAGCACACACACACAAAATACCTTAATGCACATGCCATACCATATCATTTATTATTATAGGTTGTGTCAAACAGTATATTCAATGCGCAACATGTTTGTGGGTTTGATGATATCTTGTTTTTTGGGTTATTAAGAAAACATCTGCTATTGTTTGGCCTCTTTGTTTGGTTTTTTTCTCAATGAAATCTGTTGTAAGAACCCGCACGCTCATACACATGCAATAACAACAACCAGGCGAATGATGACGTCTGCAACATGTTGTATGTTTGTTTCAACCAATTTAGTGTGGGCAGCAGCAAAGCATATGGAACAGCTGTTGTTCTGGGGATTATGGCTGGCCTCTGTGTGTGCATGCTTGCTTGCTTGGTTGTATCTATAAGATACAACAATCATGTTGTGTGTTGGTTGGTTGCTTGGGCACACTCACTCATATCTGGCCAATGTAGATTTGCTTTTCAAAGAAGTATTTCAAGACCGGCAGTTTTATATTCTGTGTTAGTTGCGTACGGAACGCGAACGTAGAAGGATGTATTTAGTGAGTGGAAATTGAAACGGAATAGAGAATACGGTGTGGTTGGCAAGAACAAGAACGTATCTACCTACCTACAAATAACATACACACACAAGTGGATTATACTAAAACACAACCAACAACACGAAAGCAGCAATGAGATTACTCGTATAAAAAACACAACCCCCAAAGCAAGAAAATTATTTTATCAATGCTCCAACCAACCCCCAAAACTTTGTGGATTACTAGCTCCAGCAAAACAACAACAACATAAAATTCTATCACTAAGCAACGTTTGAAAAAAAGTTTTTTTATGTCATATCGATATAGAAAAAAAAATAATAAAATAAAAACAACAACGAAAAATAGAAAAAAACGCACAACTGATTGAAAAAATTCGAAACAAAAAGTGAAAAAAGTGCATCACCTAGAAAAAACGCAGTGAATTTTTTTGTTTCATGCTCAAAATGAATTTTAAGTTTAAAACAACAAAAGCAACAACAAATCATTTATTAATAAAAAGAATAAGCCCGAAACAAAAGAAACGAACCATTTTCAATCAGATTAATTGCAAAACAATAACAATTGAACGAAAATCGCAAGGAGAAGCAGAAGTGCATCAGAGAAAAATAAAATACTATTTTGTCAACAAAAAGCCCCTCATAGAGTGAAGGGAAGAAAAACACAAAAGCAAAGTGATAAACGTGAAAAACGCAAAGTTTTTTTTCAAAAAAAAAAGTTATAGTTTTGTGGGCTTTTTTAGCCAGCCAAAAGAAGACTCTTTGTTGGTCGCTTACAACAAGTCTGGATTACCACCACCAAGCAAATACCAACAACAGCACGCACGCACACACAACACAAGGAACAAACCAAAAAACAGCAGCTGTTTTGAAGAATTATTCCCCCTCTCAAAACACAAACACCGCAACGAGACAAGTGGACTAAAAAAACTCCAGTCAAAAGGAATTTCTTTGTCAATAATTATTAAGGTAAGTTTTGAGGAACAAGCAAAAATGTTGCAAGAAAAATTTTATAAAAAAAAAATATTGGCCTTAAAAAACGAATAGTTTTGAATCTTACAAAGAAACAAATTCAAAATTGCTTTAGATTTTCTAATAAGCAGATTTCACTTTAATTCACCTGTAACTGCCACACAATTAGTTATGCACATATTATCAAGTTTTTTTTTTTTTTTTTTTTTGGTTTCAAATAAAGCCTAGATTTTCCATAGTTAGCTTGGCAAAATGACTTAAGTTACAAAAATGAAAAATAAAAAACTGAAAATTACTTTTTAAACAAGTAATAAAAAATATTTTTTTCAATTATTATTATTTTTTTTTGTCTTTTTTTTTGTAAAATTAATATTTTAGTTAGCTCATTTTTGTTTTTAGTGTGGTGTTCATCATCAATAATAACATTTTTATTAAAAAAAAATTAAAACAATTTTATTTTGTTTTTATGATTTACACCAGAAAGTTTTGGACAGACATACATGCCACATGCAATTGTTTTACAGTTTCAACTATTGTTTATGAGGTTTTTTTTATTTTTTTGTTATTTTCATACACATTTCGCAAATGTTGCAAACGAAAACACGTAAAGCGCCAAAAAGCCATTGGCAGCCAGCATGAAATACATTCATTCATACATGCACACAGATATGTATGTGAAACTAACGTTGTATTAAAATATTTCAAATGAATTTTTCGTAATTAATAAATAAAGTTATTAGCGTTCTTCTTTTAATTGAATATCGTTCATGCAATGAATTTATTTACCAAAAATGGAAAAAATGATGCATGAAAAACATGAAAATATGAAATTTGAAAAATATAATGAAAAAAAATTATTTTTAGGAAAATTTTAAAAATTCCCGTTCCAATAGAAAAATTTTATTTTTCATAAAAAATATTAAAAATGAATAATTTTTTTTAATTATTTTTTTTAATATTTTTATTTATTTATGTTTTTTGTAATATTTCATTTTTTTTTGTGAAATTACATTTTTTAATGTGTCTCTTATCACATTGTGTATTGTTGACACACATGACAACAAGTTTATTAACAACTTTATGTGGACAAAATATAAAAAAACCTAATTTTCCCACCGTCTTCTTGGCCAAGTCTTGCTTGGTCATTAAAACCAATTTAAGCATAAAACCAACTATGAATGTTCATGTGTGACACAATCTAAGACACAAAATTGTAAATGTTGTTGTTAAGCTTGACAAAAAAAAAATATTGTGTGAACTTTTTTTTGTGATTTTGAAAAATTCCTTTGAAAAAATCCCCCCACCTTCAATGGTTGCTAAGGTTTTCATAATTTTTTGCCATTATTTTTTTCTGCTTCTTCTCCTTCTTAATGCCCAGTATGCGTGTTCATGTGGTGAATATAATAGGAATTTAATGATTTGTTTTTGTTAGTAAATGTCACTGTAATTGAAACGAATGCGATTAAACATAATTTTGAGACGTTGTTGTTGTAGTTTTTTTTGTGAGCTATTGACAGACAATGAGACAGCCACTGATTGTAAACATGATGATGATGTTGATTATCATGATAATGGCTTTGACAATTTTCTTTACTCATCTAATCACAAAGAAAGAATTATTTAGACAAAAAAAAACACAGACCTTGGTTTCAATTTTTTTGACAAATATTATCTGTATTTATTGTTTAGTGGTTTTGCCATTTTTTTTACTTCACTTGATTGGCTTTGTTGTTTTGTTTTTCTACACAGAATTTCAATTCAATTAAAATCTCATAAACCAAATGAAAGCACCGCAGGAGTTTGTGTTTTATATCTACAAACAGCAGCAACAACAAAAAACTAGGTTAGTCGGTTTGTAAACAAAAACCAAAAGCAACAACACAAAACTGTTTTATGTATGAATTTATTTATTTCATGTAAATAAAAAAAAAGTTTTGTTTTTAGAACAAACCAACCTCAGGTTAAATAAATAGTTTATTTTTATAAACCAAAATAAAAACGAACTGCATTTCCTCTTTAAGGCCAACAAAAAATAAACTTATAAACAAAATTGGTTTTTCTCTTCTGTCTATTACATCTTTTGGCAAAATAATTAATTTCCCTTTTTCAACAAATTTATCTTTACAGTTTAACACACACACACACGAAAAAAGACTTGACCTGAAATACAAAATGGCTCAAACACACACACCACAAACTACTACACATGAGGAGAATTCATTGGATTCCACCTTTGAATCGATTATCATAGACATTCCACAATCAATTACATTCTCATCAGCAACATGCACATCGTCGTCATCCTCATCATCATACGATACGGATAGCAGTGTTAACAGTGCCACCTGCTGTACCAAACATCAGGAGCATTTGTATATGCAGCGGGCGCCACAAATGCACAAGCATGACAACACAGCCGATTTGGAAGCTGTTTATTTTAAAGCCGATCAGCAACGTAAAAATTGGCCAATTTTTATTTTAATGATTTCGCTGTTAGAAGTAAGTATCCCACACAAAATAGCTAAGAAGCTACATTATTTTCTCTTGCTCCATATTAAGGAATAGTTTACTAATTTTATTTTTTCCTCTCTCTTCCTCTCATTTTAGATCGCCGTCTTTGTTTATGACATTATGACAGTACACAAAGACGCCATGGCCAATTCGTTGGATTTACCCCTGGCTATACCCACCGATTCGGTGTTCATCTATCGTCCAGATCGCCGCCTACAAGTATGGCGTTTCATTTCCTATATGTTCCTGCATGCCAATTGGTTCCATTTGGGTTTCAATGTGGTCATCCAGCTATTCTATGGCATACCCTTGGAGGTAATGCACGGTTCGATCCGTGTAGCTGTCATCTATTTTGCCGGCGTCTTTGCCGGATCGCTGGGGACGAGCGTTGTGGACTCTGAAGTCTATTTGGTGGGTGCCAGCGGTGGCGTATATGCCATTTTGGCAGCCCATTTGGCCAATATTACCTTGAATTATGGCCAAATGAAATATGCTGTAGCTCAATTGCTGTCAGTGGTGATATTTGGTAAGTTTCAATGATCGATCAACAAAAAATATATTTTATTTTAATAAAAAAAATCATAAATATTTTAATTCAAAATAAAGTTATTTTTCTTTTTTAAATTTAATACAAAAAATATTATGATTTTTTCATTTAATTATCTGAGAAAAATTGTCAAACAATACTAATTTTATTTATTTATTTTCTTTCTATTTTTAGTATTGTGCGATCTGGGATATGCATTCTATACACAATATCTGGCCATTGACAACGGCAGCAGCAACAACAATGAGGCACCTCCTGTCTCATATATTGCCCATTTGACCGGTGCCTTGGCTGGTCTGACCATTGGTCTTTTGGTGCTAAAAAATTTCGAGCATCGCCACTATGAAAATCTCATCTGGTGGTTGGCTCTCGGTATCTACTGTGCATTCACCGTATTTGCAATTGTCTTCAATTTGATAAATACGGTGACCGCTCAACTCATGGAAGAACAAAGTGAAGTTATTACACAGCATTTGCTACACGATTTGGGCGTATCATAAATACAATCACACACACACAGACACACACTCATTGGAAACGTATCCCTGCCCCCGCTTAATTCTCAGCCCATTCTTTCTATTATTTGAAAAAAAACTCTTTTTGCCTTTTAAAAATGCAAAAAGACACCAAAAATGGCCCCATTATCTCCCCCTCCCCCACACTACACTCCCATTAAAAAATAAAGAAAGAATTGTGTAAACAAATGTTGTGATAATACCAAAGACTGAATTTACTTCATAAAAACAAAAAAGAAACCAACTCTAATTTTTTTATAAACTAAAAAAAAAAAACAAAAACACATAACTCACACAAACAACAAATATTAAATAATTTATTGTAATTTTGTTTTAAGCAACACAAGAAAAAATGAAGAAGAAGAAACTGTTAAGTAAAATTAATTTAACTTATTTTTGTTTTGTTAATATTTTTTATTTATTTATTAAAATGAAACCAACAACAACAACAACGCTCAGACCTTGCGCAAACCAATCCTAAAATAAAAATTAAGAAAAACTAAAAAATAAATTGCACACACCCACTAGTCAAACTGATTTTTTGAAAATTTGTTAAACATTTTATGTATTATTACAAATAATCGAAAGAAAACTTAAGAAAATCTCTTAACTTAACTAAAGAAACTCATTTGAGAAAAGAAACAAAAGCAAACACATCTATTCACACAAACACACAAAGTATTATTATTTATAAAAAAAACAAAAACAAAAAACATTGTAAAAAGTCCCCACAAAGAAAACACTAAAACAAAGTTGTATTTGAAACGAAGTTGTATTTGAAATCCCAAAAAGCATGTTATTTTTATATAATATTTTTTTTATTATTAATATTATTATTGTTTTTATTATAATTATTATTTAATTTTTTATTTATTATTTAAAAACAGGTTTTTTAATTATTTCACAAACAAACAAAAAAGAAAAGAAAAACGAAAATAAAACAACAACACAGCAAAAAAAATTAAAACCAAAGAAAATTTAATTCCATCAAAACAACAAGAACAACAACAACACATACATACACTCACACATTTAACAAGAAAAACAAAACAACCCGAAAAAATGTCTTCGTGTTCAAATATTTATATAGCAGAAAAAATAAAAAAAAAAAACAAAAAACTTTATTATAAATGATCCAAAAATAATCCAATCCAATATTTCTCTTTGTAATAGTGTTTCAAAACAAAACTTTACTGTACTCCGCCACTCCCCCAACAGAATCTGTAAAATATATATAAACGAATATTTACTAAATGCCAAAAAAATAATAATTATATATTACAAAAATTACAAACAAAAACAAATTACATTGTAAAAAAAATACTTATATTTAATATCTCTCTTTGGACTCCTCTTTCATTTCCTCAACCACATTGAAACAAAGAAAAAGAAACAAAAAGCTAAAACAAAACCCACTAAACCATAGACAGTTGCTATAAAAAAATTGTAAAGTCAAACCATCTTTCTGCCACCACCCACCTCCCTCATTCATTATTTATTCCAAATCTAACAACAACCACAATACTCTGTGTTATATATAAGTGAATGTATGTGTTCTCCTGTCCTCCTCCCCATAAAAGGAAACAGGAAAGAAGAAAAAAAAAACAAAACAAAAATTGCGAACAAAAAAATTAAAAAAAAGAAAAAAACAATAAATAAAAAACAATAAATAAAAAACAATAATAAAACAAAAATGTTATCAATATTAAAAAAAAAAAACAAAAACTTTTTTGCCTTTTTATTTGGGAATACTATAAAGGGTATAGCAAAAAAAGGATACAAATGGGTGTATCCTTACACAACTATAGCTGGATTTGAATTTTTATGGAGTTGAATTTCCTTTAAGAACGTAATATTTTGCACAAAATAACTTAAAAACAATTGAAACGCCGTTATGTTTGGCGGAGCCGAAGTTGTATACCCTCCATCATGAGCAGCACACTTAAAGTACCTCGGTATTTTTAGATTTGATACACGATGAGAACTAAAGTACAGTCGATAATACCGATAAAAGTCGGTAACCTATTTATACCCTTCACCACACTGTGGTACAGGGTATTATGTCTTTGAGCATATGTTTGTAACAGGCAAAAATAATCAAGATAGACCCATGGTTCCTTTTGAGAATAAGCATAGAATCACTTTTTAAGTCGATTTATGCATGTCTGTCCGTCCATATATTTTTGTGAACAATGTACTGGTCGCATTTATGATCCGATTTTGATGAAATTTGGCACATGTCACTTATTTGGCCCAAGGACGAACCCTATTGAAATTGGAGAAAATCGGTTCCGATTTAGGTATAGCTTCCATATATAGTTTCGTCCGATTTAATGCAAATGGTCCCTGTATATCTTTCGATTTGCACGAAATTTGGTATAGCCTACTGAATTAGGTCTAGAATGATGTGTGCTAAGTTTCGAGAATATAGGCTAAGATTTAGATATAGCTCCCATATATAGTTTCGACCGATTTAAGGTAAATGGTGTACCAAAGTCCCTATATATCTTTCGATTTGCACGGAATGGCGTGTGCTAAGTTTCGTGAAAATCGGTTCAGATTTAGAAATAGCTTCCATATATAGTTACGCCCGATTTTAGGTAAATGGTGCACTAAAGTCCCTACTAATCTTTTGATTGGCATGAATTTCTGTATAGCGTACTAAATTAAGTCTAGAATGATGCGTGCTAAGTTTCGTGAAAATCGGTTCAGATTTAGATATAGCTTCCATACATAGTTTCGTCCGATTTTAAGTAAATGGTGCACCAAAGTCTCTGAAAATCATTCGATTTGCACGAAATTTGGCATAGCGTATTGATTAAGTCTTCTCGTTTCAGACATAGATATATCGTAGCTTCCATATATAATTTCGACTTATTTATGTTAATTGTACACCAAATAATCAATAGGTGTCTGATTGAGATTAAATTTTAAACAGTGCAGCATACCGAATAGCGTGTGTAAAGTTTGCTTTAAATCGATTTATGCAAATCTGTCCCACTGTGCGCAAACGACTCTAAACATGCCCAAATGAAATGAAATTTAGCATAGATTCCAGAATGACATAAATAATAAACATATTTAAGTTCGTTCAATTTCATGTCAAAATTCCTTCAAAAAGGCGACGTCTTTTCGGATACATATGTAGAATATACCCAAAGTGGTGAAGGGTATCATATAGTCGGCCCAGTCCGACTTTACTACTTTCCTTACTGGTTCTACTCCATTTGAGTTCCAAATACCAAATTACAGTACATTCGGTTGAAAAACGTGTCAAAACTCACCAAAAGGCCAAACTTTGGGAGGTACCGGCATAGGGTGGATATCTTAAAATGTGGATGAATATACGTAATGAAAACACATAATAAATAAATTCTAAACATGTGGGGGCATGGACGAACGCAGGTGGTGGCATTTTTTTAATAATATTAGTTTTGCAACAGAAAAATTAATTCCGTTAGAATCTATATAAATTTGCTGATATATATTGAATATCTTTACATGTATATGGACAATATTTCCAATTTCTTAACCCTTTCAGTGTTTTTGTCGAATATATTCGACATTTAAAATTACTCTCTTTCTTTGCGATATTTGGATTATCTTATGTACCGTTACTATTGATGGTTTTGTTTTTGCTGAAAGACAGACAAAAATGTCCGATGGTTAAAATGAGCATTGCTATTTTTTCTAAACTCTATACCTTTATATGATTTTAAATACAAAATTTTAGATTTTTATTCCGACAAATTTTTTTCTTGACACTGAAAGGGTTAATATTCCAGTTTCTAAAATTCGTTTTTTTTGTCTTCGTACTACATCAATGATTTTTGGTACATATATAGAGAAAAATGTCCTGACTCCGAAGATGTTCGCGATCAAATTTTTGGTTGGTGCGCGCAAAAGTTATCGAGGTTTTAATTTTGGGCATTAGAAAAAAACATAAAATTACGCCATTTATTATATCGACCAAAAACGTTGATATATATTACTTCCTTTGTAAAATATGAATATATTACAAAAATCGCAGAAAAAAAGTTTAAAATTGTGGCGAAACATGAGAAAAATAATAACCATATAGGAGATTACGTCATTATTTTCATTATATTAATGACATGTATCAACCTAAAAATTAGTTTAAATATATCGACATAATCTAAACACCAAAATTATAGCGACAACAAAACAAGATATTAAGGAAAATTATTTGTTTTTGGTTCGAAGAAATAATGTCATCATATTTATTTTTTAACTAGCGGGCCCGGCAAACGTTGTCTTGCATAGCATTATTGTTAATGTATAATTCACAAATATAATTCAAGATAGCCCAATATTAAGCTACACTCCACGATTTAAGATAGTGCTCTAAAATTTGCACATACATTGCTACTACTCCTACGATATTTGGTATTGAAAATGTTCAATATTAGTTCACTATTTAGGGTATCCCCATATAACGGTACCTTCTATATGAGAAATTGTAACGATTTTTTCAACAGAATTGGTTGTAATTGAGCAGAAAGTGTCCGTACCAAATATTATCAATATTGGCATATGTTTCGGGTTACTGCCTATATAATGGTATAGCACAGCTTTTAATTCAATATAAGGGATAGTTCTTGAGCAGAAAATCTCCTTACTTAAAATTATCAATATTGGCCCACGTTATTTGGTATTTGGCTGTAATTTTATATTTTGGATGATCATCGAGTAGAAAATTCTGTGAATAAAAAACAGCATCCCAGAAATTATGGACTATAGATTAACGTTTTAGAAATACGTCATAATTATTTCCCGTTCAATTTTCGGTATGTTGAAGTTCTTATTCCCGTTTTCCAACCTGAGTGTGATATGATATACTTCTCAATTATTTGTTGTATTATCCTAAAAAAGTTTTAATACAAATGTAGTCTTAAAGGAATGATACGCTACAGATTTTCGCCAAAAATATCTCAAAATAACAACTACGATGTGCTGCAATTCAAATAGCACGATACTAAAT